TTGGGGGGGGGGGGAGGGTCATGTGCATTATTCGAGACCATTATTTAGCATTGCATGTGAATTAATTAATTGGTTGATATATGTACACATGGACATTAATTTCGCATACGTATTATAAAAATAATTTCATGCATTAAACTATCTCCCTTGGAATAGAAAAGCTACTTGCAAATTTTATAAATCCGAAACAAGAGACCCATGCGGATCGAGGTAGAATCCAAGTGGTGAGCCAAGGGATACATACATTCGAAAGGGTATATGTGTTTACAATATCATATTAAGATTTGCTACCGACAGAAGACTAAAAGTAGAACAACGACGTGATTCCAACCGATGTTATACAGTCGATTTTGACGGGTATATATGTGTTCCAGATTCCGTATTCCAAATTCATATTAAGATTTGTTATATGATACTGCATGTTTATATTTCCTATAGGAAATATATATATATAGAGAGAGAGAGAGAGATTTTGAATAACTGTAACATAATGAAAGGGAAATCATATATATCCAAAGAAGACCTCGTAGATAAACAAATTCGACTAATAATTATGTTGTTCATAAAGGAAATCAAGCCACAAATCTGAGAAGTAGAGGTTGAAAATGATAGAAGACATATATTTTATTTCTATGTACAAACATATATATATATATATTATACACGAACAGAGTCAAAACAAAGCGAAAGGGAAGTTGTTGAAGTGAAGGAAAAGTCAAATCGTGCAGAAGAGGAAGGTTGCTGGTGGAGAGTATTCTTCAACTCAAATCTGGGATTGCTTCCCTAATTGTGTCGTCCGCGATTGGCGAGAGAATCAGAGAGTTGGGCCTGATGGCCCAAGTCCAGGATCAACAAGCTCATCATGGGCCAACGTGTCATGAGAAGGTCCATGTCCACTAACAGTTCAATCAACTTTTTGTCTCTTTTTTTTTTTTGTAATATTCGTTTCATTTGTTTATTTTGAATCTGCGGTCGAATTTGGGGTTCCATATTAGAAATCCCATAATATAGATCGAGAAACAATTATGTGTAACCAAATTAATTTCTTCCCATTTTTTTATTGTATCAATATTCTTCCGATATAATGATTTTTTAGATTCATCTAATTGCATCTAATTGTCTTATCACCGAGTTGAAATTGTTTATCAGTACGTTATTCTCTTTATTAACTTATTATACATTTATGAAAATAATAACATTAATCAAAATGAGAAAACGCCTAATCGTATTGCTACTTATCTTCATTTTTTCTATATTTGATTAATAAATATGGATATTTCCGTATAAAAATTATTAAGCCGCAATTTTTTTTTTCCCGATCTGAGAGTGTTGGGTTCACGGATATGGAAAGGGTGAAGGAGAGAGGACACCGAGCAGTGCAATTTTCATGTGTAATTATTGTATAAAACAAACACATGAGAGAGTGACAGAGGGAATAGTAGTCCCGTGACCTCACCTGATTTCTCCTTTGGCCTTATTCTTCTATCTCTCTCTCATGCATGCATGCATCCATCCATGCATGTATGTATGTATATATACGGATGTATACATATATATACCTCAAGCTTATAAATAATACGACATATATTCCCATGCGTATGTATATTTGAATGTTAATATTTGCAATTTACACATAACACTCCCAAAACTCATATGAAAGAATATTAGTGTATCTTCACCACTCTCTCTTCGAAGCTCTCCATTTCACCTCCCCACCGAAACCCTGAACCCTATGGAAACTCCTCCTCCTCCGCAGCTACGGCCGCAGGCCTACAAACTGACAACGTCCTCCATCTCCTACGCCAAACCTCGGACCGGCCTCTCTCACGTTCTGCCACTCCTCCCTTTCAAGCAATGCACGGCCGAGCCGCCGATCTATATCCTCCGCAACGTCTCTCTCACCGCTTTTCCCGGCGAGATCCTCGCCGTTGTGGGCCCCAGCGGCGCCGGAAAATCCACTCTCCTCGATATTCTGGCCGCCAGAACCTCTCCCACCTCCGGATCCATCTTCCTCGGCTCTCTCCCTGTAAACCCTTCATCTTACCGCAAGATCTCTTCCTACGTTCCCCAGCACGACGCCTTCTTCCCTCTTCTCACCGTTCTCGAGACGTTCTTCTTCGCCGCCCGTCTCTTGCTCCCAAACCAGACCCATGTGCCCGACGCTGTCGATTCTCTGCTCAGAGAGCTTAACCTTACACATTTGGCAGATACTAGACTTGGTCAAGGCCTGTCCGGTGGGGAACGTAGGAGGGTTTCCATAGGTTTGAGTCTTCTTCACGATCCGGGTTTTCTTCTTCTCGATGAACCCACCTCGGGTTTAGACAGCAAATCGGCGTTCGATGTCGTTCAGATTCTTAAATCCATAGCTACGTCGAGACAACGCACTGTGATCTTGTCCATCCACCAACCCAGCTTCAAGATTCTGTCTGTTATTGATCGGTTGTTGCTTCTGTCCAAAGGAACTGTAACGTACCACGGAAGGGCTGATTCTCTTGAAGGTTTCTTGCTCTCCAAGGGTTTCACCGTTCCTCCCCAGCTGAATGCCCTTGAATACGCCATGGAAATACTCAACGATCTCCACGAGACCAACGAAAATATCGATGTTGATCTTTCTAGTCCATCGCCCTCAGCTAGCGAAACGAGTTTGTCAGCCGATCAGTTCCTAGAAAATCAGAAAGAGAGAGCAATACAGCGTACCATTCGACATCGAACCTCGAGAATAGCCGAAATAAGCCTTCTTTCGAGAAGATTCTCGAAGATCGTTTGCAGGACGAGGCAATTGCTTCTGACCAGCACACTAGAAGCACTTATAGTCGGTCTTGTCCTAGGCACTATCTACATCAACATCGGAATTGGGTTACAAGGAATCAAAAAAAGATTCGGTCTTTTCGCATTCACACTCACTTTTCTCCTCTCTTCCACAACCGAAACCCTTCCGATCTTCATCAACGAACGCCCGATCCTCATACGAGAAACCTCAAGCGGTGTTTACAGACTCTCATCCTATCTTCTTGCCAACACCCTCGTTTTCTTGCCTTACTTGCTCGTCACCTCCGTCATCTACTCCGTTTCGGTCTATTTTCTCGTGGGTCTCTGCTTTTCTTGGCAAGCTTTTGGATACTTTGTACTTGTCATCTGGGTAATCGTTCTAATGGCGAACTCATTCGTGCTCTTCTTGAGCTCTCTCGCACCGAATTACATCTCGGGAACTTCTCTTGTCACTGTTCTGCTTGCGGGTTTCTTCTTGTTCTCGGGCTATTTCATCTCCAAAGACAGACTCCCCAAGTACTGGCTCTTCATGTACTTCTTCTCCATGTATAGGTACGCCTTGGACGCGCTTCTGATAAACGAATACTCGTGTCTGAGCACGAAATGTCTTGTCTGGATGGAGGGAGCCGAAGGGAAGATCTGCATGAGCACTGGAAGCAGTGCGTTGGAGCAGAAAGGGCTTCATGCGAGGGAGAAATGGTTTAATGTCTATGTCTTGCTTGGTTTCTTCTTTCTCTACCGTTTGTTGTGTTTTCTTGTTCTTCTCAAAAGGGTTTCGGGCTCCAAGAGATGAATTCCTTTCTTCGCTTTCGCGTCACGTTATTGTTTCTGTGTATACATCGATCTTCTTTCCATACGAAGTTTCATTTTCTTAAATCCACGGAAGAAGAGATTATAATGAATTTTGTGTTGTATTTATACCAATTATACTCTAAAAACAAGAGAATGAGAGCAACCCAAGATCGATCCCTAAAGTTCATACATGAACCGGAGATAACCGGACATTGCAACTTCAATATCTGTAAACCGGAGAGTTTCAACAAACCAAAACCGGGTTTATACATCCTTATATATATATATATATATATATATATATTGTATTGTATGAGAGTAAGATGGCAGACCCAAGTTGTAAAAGTGGGAACAAGACAAGAGGTATCACGGGTCTCATTCCCCTCTCAAAATGATCTTATTATTACATTTTTTGTTGGGTTTAAATTATAAACATTGTTATTATTACTTACAAAGGCAAAGATATGTGTATATTTTTTAAAGCACAAGTTTGTTGTATAGTAGCGGTCCCAAAAATGTTACATGCTCTGTTTGTTTCCCTTAGCGTTTTAGTTCTCAAATAATGGTCAATATGTTGTATATATACATGTTTATAATCTTATATATCTATATTATATAAGTGTATATGCATACATACATGTATAATGTATGGGCTATTTTTCGTTTCCTCTCCCATGAACTGATTTCTCTCTCTTGTTCTGCCATTATCTAACATACCGTCGAGAGGAACGGGTGGTCATTTCGAATTTCGCTTCGCTTATATTCGAGTTTGGTTATTTTAGTTATAGAAAAATTATTATCATTCAGTTTTTATACAAATTTCGGTTCGGATCCGTTTTTTTTTGTAAAAACCTCATTTTTCAAAGAAATTTTCGGGTTTTACTGTTATTTTTTAATTGATTCAATTCGGTTTTGTTTTTTTTTCGGAATTAGAGAAGTCATGATCATTCGGTTTTTATATCAAATTCGGTTCGATTACGATTATATCTTTCAATTATTCGGTTAATAATCAAAATGATGGCCCTGAATGCACGCATATTTATGTTAGGAGAATCTTAATTGCCTTGGCATTTAAAGTCAAAATTCTATCCGTAAACGTCAGCATATGTCTTCATTTGATTCAATCTTCCTTGAAAAACTTTGATTATACTTCTTGGTCGGAACCGATTAGATTTTTCAATCCTAAGAAAAGCTTTTGCTCGGACAAATCGGTGAGTGGAAGAAGCTTTGCTACGGCCAACAAGAGGCATAGCATTCACTCACGGACGGGAATGTGTCAACACGGACATGTCAAAAATTCCCGAACAGCCAACTATCCGCACGAGGAATCCTGGTCGACCAAGTCACCCGACCAAGCGGATGACGAGTCATGTCCGACTGACCAAGCAATACTCGAGGCACGTCGAGATGTCGAAGGAACTCCGGCCATGCTGAGTCAGACCATGTCGCACATGAGGAGGCCTGAGACCCCTCGGGCCCCGGCCACACAAAGAGAAAGAGAACTGCTAAAAGGACGAATTCAAGAGAGCAGGGAGTAGATACCTGTGATAGCGAAAGATGCGAGCTTTCACAACGCAAAACAAGCTGTTGCATTTGGCCTTCCGAATGCATCACCTAAGGACAGAATCCTGAATACAGAGGCTGCCATAATTTCACGTCTCTCGGGACACATGTTCAGTAGATCTATAATGGTAAGAGACAGGAACCAGATTCATACCTTTAACAATGGGGGATGCCCTTGAAAAGGGGAAGCGTCATTTTTGTATAAATCATAGACGAGGTAACAAAGATAAGATTGGATAAAGTTTGTTTAATCCAAAGATTATTAGAATTTGAACGCCGGTCCTCGGAACAACTCTAGATCAAAGCTAGAAAACAGCAGCAGTTGCATGGGAAGGGAAAACAAACAAATACCATATAACAAGAGAAAGGAGAACTGGGAGTTTGACCAGCACATACAATGCAAAAGCTGAAAGCTACCCCGTCAACTGTGAATCAGGAGAGCTAGCGGCTGGAATCTCCTTTTGAGAAGCAACGGCTTCAAGGGTCTTGTAGAATTCTTCGGGAAGAGGGCCAGGACGGTGCTGAGGAACATGCTTGGGAATGGGAGCATCATTCTCGATGACTTCACACTCGTAGTCGTCTGGAACACCCCAAGGATCCCACTCTGCGAGAAAGACGAAATAATTACAAATCCATGGTGAAGAGTTCCATGATAAATTCAAAGGCCAAATCACTGAACCATATTGAGTTAGTCTTTCACAAGGACATAACTCGAACAGTAACTAGTTTCCCTCAAGTCTCTCTCTCTCTCTTGGTTTATCTAAAGAAAGAGACACAAGATGAAGAGAGAATGTTGCATATCATGGGCTGATTCCTACAACACTAAACTTCACGTGAAATGTTTGCACAACATTGATTAGACATCGGAAGATTGAGGTATTAGGTATCGTAAAACTGATGCCGCTTCTGCGTGGAGCATACCACGCATATACATATTAGGAATAGTATCATACCGCATATAAAAGCAGAGCAAGTATAAAAAAATGAAACAGGCAACTAAAAAGAGAAGCAGATTGGTGGAAACAACATATGAAGACGACGAATGGCTTTGTTCGCTCTGAGGATCTGATGATAGAAAACATTTCACGAGAAACCATACAGATACATTTTGTAGGAAAAATTTCGAACTTTCGCAAAGATTCGCCCAAATGTGAAGGCTAGCACTTAGCCCACAACATGGGAAGTCCAACCGGTGAATCTCTAAAACTAAAGAGATCATTTTTGTTTTGAACTTTCAAGATCACGTTTTGTTGATACCCAACAATGGATGACAGTTTCAAGGCTTTTCGGTAACATGATGATATCCCACGGTTCATAAAGCCTCGAAACTCAAACTCTGTTTCCCATTCTAAATTCTCATCCAGCAATATCAAACTAAATGTCAGAACCAGATCACACAAATGAAAAAACGTAACGATTGCCAGGAAGCAAAATCAGACAGTGGTGACACTCGCGCTTGCAGCAAATCCGACAAAAGCCCAAAAGTACGAAATTAAGATCCGGACAAGGGTATAGTTGTTGCTCATCCAATTCGAAAATTCGAAACGACCAAATCAAAATCACACGAAAATGGGTCGAATGATACGAAGAAGAAGAGGAATACGAACCGATCATTTTTCCGATGAGAGTGAGCTCATCGCGAGCCTCCTCGATGAGCTCCTCGACCTGGCCACAACCGAGCCGCTTCTCGATCATCTCCCAATCCTCCTCCTCCTGACAAGCCTTGAGACGGTGGCGCGTGAAGCTCTCCACGGCCTTCCTGTATCCTTCATCCTCCGGCACGGCCTGGATCTCCTTTAGGGTTTTGGAGTAGAGATCGATCAAAACCTCCCTCGCGTTGGGAACAACGTCCAGACCAACGATCCCAGTCGTCTGCTTCACTTTCGCCAACAATGGCCGTCCAATCGCACGGAGGAACATATCTTCCGCCTACGCTCGAAGCACAAGATCACTCCTCTCTCCCTGCAAAATCTCGCTCACTTTCAGTGTCAACCCCTTCGAGATGCGAAGAAAGGAATGTGGAGCTTACGGAAGCAGAGGGGTAGAAACAATGCCCGAATTATTGGGCCACTATATACTCTTTTTATGGGCCAATCGTTTGGGCCTTTATAGGCCCAATTAAGTATGGACGGATTATTGATGGGTCAAAAAGCGATCCATGGAAAAAGTATTATAATATGCTTTAAATTACTTATCAATACACAATTTGGTTGGTTGGACAAGGATATTAGAGATTTCAAAAACACATGTATCCTCGTGTGTATATATATATAACACAACATATCAATTAGATGGGCGAAGTGTCACTGGCCCCCACTAAAAATAAAAAAAAAAAGGACTTATTTATAAAATGTAATAAGATGTGAAGAATAATACCCCCACTTCATATTTATAAATGTCCCCTCCCCTCATTTTTTTAATGTGAAATCAAATAAATATATAATATTTTTCTATTTTTTAAAAAAATTTCATCTTTCATATATTTTTTTTCTCTTCTTACATCTAAAAATAATAATCAATTTAATCTAAATAAAAAATTATCATCAATTTAATCATAACTTAATATATAAAAAATAACAACAACAAAATCAAATATATATAAATGTTATAATTTTTGTTTGAAACCATTTTTATTTTTTTATTGTTTGTTTCTATATATTTAGCATACTTATAAATTTATATATATATATATATATATATATTTGTGTATTTAATATAGTAGCTAAATTAGTGGATAAAGTTTTCTAAAAAATTACATTGAAATTCAAAGATAGTGGTAAAATTTCAACCGAGAGCGTATTAAATTCTAATGTAAATAAATTGACTTAGATGATTTGGCTTTGAATCATGTTAATAAAAAAAAATTAAAGTATCATCCTAATTAGATAGATAAGATAAAGTACAATTTTTGAATAGATTATCTAATTTGTGTCATCGAAAAAGATACATTCTAAACTATTCCTAATAAAATTATTATGTAAAAATTTTAGAAAATAAAAAAAAATTGTAGAATTCAATTATAAAACATAAATATTTTTGTTAGTATATATTTTATTAATTTCTTTTATAATATATATATATATATATATATTAATATTGCCACCAGTAAAATATTTGTCTGGATCCGCCACTGCATACATCTAACTTTAATCATGAAATATCGCCTAAAGAAATTTAAAGGGTAGAAAACTTTGAAAAGAGTCAATATTTTCAAATTTTAAAATCGAAGTATCTATACATCAGAATTCTATCTCTGTACGTAAACATATAAAATTCAACAAATGCAAGTATAATAATATGACCTCTTCTCCTAATGTGAATTATTAAAATCAAATTGTACATATCATAATACTGTGTCGTATATAGACCATGGTGTGCGAGTCAGTCATTTTTATTTAAATTATTTTTGGCGCATTGAATACTTGTTCAATAAATTAGTAATAACAAAGATAAACTCTTAGAAGTTATAAGATTATTAGACAACTTTCATGCCCATCTCGCGTCATGAGAATCTGGACCGACCATGTTACAAAGTTTTTTAAAAAATGCAATATCAATTTCGTCATAACCTGTTTAATTATATATATTTTTTTGTTAAAATTTAATTATATATTTAACGACCCTACTTTGCTGTTTCGAGAGACGTATTGTTACGAAACAGAGAGTTAATTAATGCCATGTTTATATATAATAATTATGAGATCGAATAAAATACGTTTGACCGACTCTTCGATTTACGAGATATACACAAAAATAAATAAAATAAAAAATAGTTGACCAATTAAGAGAACCCACTAGGAGAATCTAAGAATTATTTATAGATATTTGGCGTTGGCTTCCATTATTTTTTATTCCAATTTTTTTATATAGAATTAATCATTTTTTTATCTGATTTAATTCATATCTAATTAGTTTATTTAAAAATATCATATCTAATTAATATTTATATCAAAATTTAATTATATACGATTAAATATTATTTAAATAAATTTAATTTTATATATGTAAAATAGAAATATCTATTCGCTCTGTTTTAATTAATAATAGTTTGCCAAATTAATAGGCTTCGCTGGTTATTCTTAATAAAATGATAAAGATAACGGTTCACATTTAAAAAAAAAAAGTGCAAATAATATGGCTTGATTATGAATGAATATATGAAATGCGTTCGCATGGTCCTCGCTGCCAATTGTTAGGGTAGCTTAATTATTTAGGGGAGAATATACTTATCCTATATATATATTTCTGATAAGAAAAAAAAAGTTCACAAAATTTTGGGAGTGCGTATATATGGTAAAGGTAAATTAGAGGCGTTGTCGTTTAGTTTTTTTTTTATTATTAAAAAGATCAGACACGAAATTAAATTTCCGAAAATAAATGATAAATCATAAAGTACAACTCGTACAGAAAAAAGACAGACAAAAATCAGTAAAATTTACGTGTAATGAAAAACATAAACACAAAGATCCACTAGAAATCTCGCATTCATACACACATACGTACATGGCATAGTCATTATATATTGATTTAAAGTCGGAGAAAATAGCATTTTAAGTATCTACATTTTTATAAAATTTTCATATAAATATCTAAATTATAAGATTTTTATATAAATATTTAAATTTTTAAAAAATTTTATAGAAATAACTAAAATTTTTTTAAAAATCTATTAAAATCGTTTGATTAAAATTTTAAAAGATATTTAAATTTTGGATTTATTTGAGAATTTTTTAAAAGTCTAAGTATTTATGTAATTTTTTTTAAAATTTAGGTGTTTATATAAAAAATTTATAATTTATATTTTTATCTTAAATTTTCATAAAAATTTAGATATTTATACTAATTTTCTCAAAGTAATTAAAAAGTGGAGAGAATTAGACGGCTACATGCATACGAAATTAACGAGCGTATGGTGACAATAGACTGTGTTTATCTAATCTAATCATCTGAACTAAACGACAAAAACCAAGAAAATCTCCGCTCAGTTAATTAAAAAAAAAAGATGCCTTTTTGTTTTTGACCGGATGTTCACCCTCCGCCGCCGTCTCCGGGGGACTAAGGGGGGAAATTTCCGGCGAAACCTTGCATGTCGGAGAAAAAATCCTCTCGATCTCTCACCGCCAAATTCGGAATCAATAGATCTTCCGCATCATCATCGTCATCATCATCATTATCAATATCGTCAATTTCATCTTCGTCATCCATGGTGATCTCTTGGCTAACAACATCTTCATCCACGTGTGTTCCCTGAACGTCGTCGTTTTCCTTCAACGGCGTCGTGGGCGAGAGATTCTCCGTCGACTTCGCAGCGTCGCTGGATCCGGCCTGACCCGGGTCGGGTTTACGGGTGGGGTCGATGGGTTGGGGCTTGTTCCGGGTGCTTCCGGCGAGAGAGTTCCGGTGAGTGGGGCGTGGATGGGTGTGTTCTCCGGCGTACGTGACGATGAAGATGTTCGGATCCGAGTTGCTTCGCTCCACTTGTTTCCTCGCCAAACACCCCTTTGAGCTGCTGCATCTGTAATAGTTCCTGTTGTACAAATTCGACCTGACCCGTTTAGCCGTTTTCTGACCCGGAAGTGATTTTCCCGAGAAAATGAACTAGAGGGGGAGAGAAAGAGAGAGAGAGAAAAGGTTGGACCGTGTAGGGGTGGGCACGGGTCGGATACCCGGGAAAATCGAGAGATTTGGATTCGGATCCGGGAGACTCGGGTATTTAGCTATAAGATTTGTATCCGAGATTTGGTATTTACGAGTATCTCGGAAGAGAGGTTTTCTTGAGTTACGTGACATATGGTTCTCTTCTGCTGGTTTTTTCTGTTCAATTTTGAAAGAAACAAAAAAAAAAAAAAAGGAAGAAACTTTGAATACCCTTTATGAAAAAAAAATGGATGAAACTTCAAACACGGGACAAAACACACAAATCGGTCTATATATCATCTAGAAGTGAAAATCTTGCCTCTTTCGAGATCGACCAGGAACTTGCGTATGTTGTTGCTGCTGCTGCTGCTCTTCACGTTGGCCTCTGAAGACGAAAACAGAAGGAGAGATTGTAGTTGCAGAGCTCGGAAAAACCCTAACGCCCCCATGAGCTTTCCGATCTTGTAATTCGTTCCCTTGTTCTTGTTTCAAGACACTGTTGCTGACCAAGGCTAACGAGGAGGAGGAGGAAGAAGAAGGAGGAGACGAAGACCACCAACGGGGCAAGAAGGGCTTGCAAGAATCTCGAAGTTCATTACAATCATAAGGATCCATGTCACTGTATCTCCTCTCTCGGTCTCTGTCGTTTCCGGCAGCGAACGAGAAAGAGTGGTGGTGGTGTTCCTGTCGGTCAAAATTAGAACCCGCCATGGGTGGCAGAGGGCTCTCTGGTTTGAGATTGTCGTCGTTGTCTTCATCTCCATCACCGGCCTTTTCCTTGATGCTCGTAGCTAAAGAGCTACAGCTTCTTACTACGGCGAAGAGATCCCAACCTTCGGACATCTCTGCTCGCGTTTTGTCAAAGCTCTTCACTTTTTCTCTTGTCTGAAAAGAGAGAGAGAGAGAGATGACAATGGCGCAAAGGACGGGCGCTGACTTTTCTTCACTTCGAGAGGAGAGAGAGATGGATGTGTGAGCACTTGACTTGGTATTTCTTCAACCATTTATACATTGAGAAATTTCATGTTTGGTGTTTTTCCCTGCTCAAAGATGTCATATATATATATATATATATATAAAAAATTTGTGAATCGTCAACTTGTTCAATCGAGAAACTAATTTATGTGTGTAAAATTTGGAAACTTATTGTTTGTAATAATATATATTTATAAATACTATTTCTTTTGTATGAGTTTTGACCACACGTACCACATGATGAAAAGATATTACATAAATACAAATGTGAAGGTACATTTGGTTATATAGATGCGTAGTGTACACCATTATTTTCATGACCCATAAATCTATAATTCTTACAAAAAAAATTATAATATCTATGAAATACTGTTCATTTTTTTTTTCTTTTTATCAAGTGTTATGAACATCAAATTGATAGTGAAAAATATTTGTATATTTTCAAACATTAAAAAAAATGTAACACATTCCTCTCTCTTCTTTCTCTTCCTAGCTCACTCAGACCTCGCAATTTCGTAGTGGAATATGGATACGGACTCTCCCTCGCTCTTATTGTGTGCTTTGACTTCGTTAAAATGTCAAAAGTGGGGACCACTCTTTTGGAACCCTTTGATTCCACCATGGGGCTGCGATTCTCTGCTTCCACGCTCATCTTCACCGCGTCTTCTGATTGGCTCGTGGTTCTCACGCGGCCAATTGAGCCGTCCGATTCCTTCCTTCCTTCCCCATCTTCTTCTGTCGGTCTCAATAATTTGTATTAGAGGATTTAAAATAGAATACGCCACTTGTACGCATTTATATGCACAAGCATATGCGGTATTTTTTTCTCCTGATTTATATAATATTTATAGCGATTACTGTTGTATTGATTTGGAAAAGGGTAATTCATAGCGTCCGGCTATAACATATAGTTTTTATTTTAAAATTAAAAAAAAAATAATACAAGGAAGACGAGAAATCGCTTTTTTCGGTCATATCTTTTTTTTAATTGGATTTTTTTTTTGTAAAAAGTCCTGAGTGTTTAACCGAGTCACACGTTCAAAAGAAATGTAGAACCTTACTTTCTATCGATAACGGACCAAGCAAATTAACAAGCGAGTTATAAAACATTTATCTCTATTATGTCCAGAAGTGGTGGTATAGTGGCGTGGGAGCACAAAGTGTTTTTTCACCTACACGGTTCGAATCTCACCGGATATCAGTAATTATAAAAAAAACATTTATCTCTATTATGAGAATAACTTATATTAATGGATCCGAGAGTTTTGCGCATTTTTCTATTGGGTTTCACATCAAACTAGGAAAAATGTTTTTCTATCGGATTATAGATAGATATATTAGATCCTAAAATCCAAAAATCACTTTGCCAATGCCAGATCCAAAAATTACTTAGGCAACAGGCTGCGATAGAAGGCGAGAGAAAGGATGGGGCCAATGGAAAGTAGGGGTGGGCACGGGTCGGATACCCGGGAAAATCGAGAGATTTGGATTCGGATCCGGGAGACTCGGGTATTTAGCTATAAGATTTGTATCCGAGATTTGGTATTTACGAGTATCCGGGATACGGGTATCCGGAATAATAGTCGGGTACTCGCGGATATCCGGATCCGGATTTATTTAAGAAAAACAACAATATTCATAAATAAAATTTTTAAAACATGAAGATATATTTATAAAAATTGATGAATTATGATAAAATATATAAGATAAAAGAGATAATAAGAGACAAATAATAAATTTAATTTTTTTGAATTAATATTAAAAAAATATGAAATTATTTCATCTAAAATAATTGTATTTTATAAAAATGTTATATAAATATAAGATATAATTATTTATAATCATAATACGCGGGTACCCGCGGATATCCAGTTTAAAAATTCTATTATCCGGATTTGGATCCGGATTCACGGGTATTGAAAAATCAGGATTCGGAGTCGGATTTGAAAATTACGAGTACCCTAAAATCGGGTATCCGTGAGACGAGTATCCGACGGATACCCGATTTTCGGGTATTTGTGGCCAGCCCTAATGGAAAGGGCATGTGATGTGATGGTAGGAAACAAGACAACAAGGGCCGTTAAACATGGGATGGGGGTTAATTTGCAAATTTCTATTTTCTTAGCCTTTTTTTCTAAAAAAAAGTTTTTTGTGGGGTCAGAACTGAGATATGCCATGAATTTGGGAATCTCACCTTACCATTCCCTCTGGTTAAACACAGACCAGATCGGCCTTTCTCCACTGTCTGAGTGAGGTTTGTAATATTTTCCTGTTACTAGGACGGATGTAATCAGGTGCTCGCGGGTCTACCCAATATTAAGCTGCACTCCACCTACTACTAAAAAAAAAAATGCTCATAAACATAAATTTTTAACTCCAAATAAAGAATATGGCATGGAGATTTCTATATATATATATATATATCTGAATCTCCTCTATTGGTATTTTAGAGTAAACGGTTGATTGGTTTGGTTTTAGTCTCTCATATAATTCATGATGCACATGTATTACGAGTATGGTGGAGGAGTAAAATATTTGTAAAGGACGTGTTGTGAATTTGTTTAAAGTGTTATGATTAGTCGGAAAAGGTTACGTTTGGTTTAGAACGTGAAAAGTGATCTCAGAAAAAAATGGAAGGACAGTTCGAAAAATGTGAACGGACAGCTTGTTTTTTATGAGGGATAAAGTTTGAATAAACGGACGATAGTCCTAATAAAGGGCGGGTAGCTCGTTTTTTCTGAGTGCCGTTTGAGCGAAAAGACACGACCAGACGGCGAAAACTTCCGAGTTTTCATGTCTTTTCAACGTTTTGGTGTTTATAAACAAACCATAGGCCATATAACATGGAGAAAGAATATAAAACACAGATTTGTGACAAGATCTAAGTGATTTTGTGAGAGATTTGAGTGTTATTGTACGCAGAAAACTATGTGCAAAGGTTTCTTTGTTTTCGGTTAAACAATTTCTGTTTGATGATTATCGGAAGGGCAAACCGAAATCATTGTCGCTTCATTGTATCTCAAAAGTGTATTCCTGTAATCCCATTTACCCGGTTGAAGACAGAATTATCGGATCAGATTGAAGTCGTCATCTTATCGGGTACGTACGTGTGATTTCGTATTATTGTTTATTCTCTAACATCCTCCACTTCCTCTATTGAAGGGGTTTGCAACATGCATGTCAGGAGCACGTGCGCTCTACCTAGAGGCACGTGACAGAATTCCAATATGGTCCAAATCCAATCCACATATCATTGCGAAATCTCAAATGAGATGGAGAAGGTGGACATTAGACAAACGCCAAAAAAGATATCACCTCCTCCTCTCATAAAAAAAGGCAGAAGAGCAGAAAGAAAGGCATCACTCGTTTCCTTGAGACGACAAGATATTCCACTTCAATATTTTTTTTTTAAAAAAAATTATCATTTCCCTATACCGTAATGTAATGAAACTGTTACGGAACAGTAGTAGCCTATCATATACTACATACATATATACGTATATTATGTAAGTGGGTTGTATATGCATATACGCATATGCCACTCGCTCGAAACCTAACAAAGGAGTGAGGAGGAAGACACTTGTATCTAGCGGAAAGGAAAGCATGTTTAATGCCCAAAGAAGAATAAATTCACTTCATTTTGTAATTAGAAAGTTGAGATTTTCCCCACTTTTTGAGTTCATTTTTTTTTATATTTCATTTCGCCAAATTCATATATACACATACATACACACACAATATAAAAAAAAAATCACGCAGATTTTGACAAAAATTGTTATAAAAAAGATCTCACGATCTTATTCTTCGCCAAATCGTGGAATCTGGAAATTCTTGGAAAAGCATAGAACCGTGTCCTTTAATAAAAGGGGGTATGGTACGAAAAATATTCCATTTGTTATTCATTATGAAACAAAACTATGGAGAATATAGCCCTTAAGAGCACAAAAGGTTTATCATTTTATGATCGTGGTCAGTTGCCTGAAAGGAATATGTATCGCTTACGTCTTTAATGGAAGCAAAATCAGCACAAAGAAAAATGGGCACAGAGACAAGGAACAAGAATATATGCTCCTAGAAAACAAGGAATCGAAGCACAACATCACCATATTGTTTTCTCTTTTCCAGTGCTTCACGGTTCCACTTTGTTAAAATAAAATTTTAAAAAAAAGTTTTAACGGTCCATTTTGCACATATATACGTATATATGCGTGTATTTGTTGTGTGGAAATAAGACTTAACATTAACGGTGTTTAATGATATTGTCAAAGAAATTAATAGATGGGTGAATGGTTGTGGTTGCGCGAGAACTTTCCAAAGGGAACAACCAAAGAAACACTACAAGGGTGTATGGGAATTGACAGGAAAAAGGAAAAAGAAGCCAATACCAATCCACGAAATTCTAACGTGTGATTTTTGGCTTATTGGTGTTTAACACTAAAGAAAAATAAAACCTTTTTTTATAAAAGGAAATGGTTACAAGGTAAAAAAAAAACTTAAGAGACATAAAAAGATGTGGGTTTGGTTTTCATTGGGGTTTATGTGACGAGACAGAAATGAGGAACGATGGATGCTATAATACAATATTTGGGGCCACCCACCACTAGAAGATTTTCCTATATTTGATGTCTTGTTTTTTGCTCTATCTTTTGTTTTTTCTACAATGGAAAAGATCACTGTATGAGAATACGATGGGGTTTCTATACATTCAGTTAGCAAAAGGGAATGAGAAAGATGTTTGGTTAGCATCTTTCACTTCTCTTTCGGTTTCAATCAAACTGAAGAAATGGCCCAACAATATTCACAACAAAGCTTTGGCAACTGAAGACATACAAGAGTCCTAACCTAACTCTAATGCTTAAGAGCTCCAGTTGCTGTGGCCTAAAATTCCATTGGGAACTTGTGATGTCTCTCTGACAAGAAATCTGCTGTTCCCTTTCGGTTATAGATAGAGAGCAAACGATAGAGAGAACCCAACTAAAAAGCTTTTTGTGGTTTTTGATAAAACAAGGAGAGCCATAGGATTGATGAGATACAATGATGTGATTGTCGTTGTCATTGGGATTATTTGGGTTTTTTTTTTTTTTATAATTTGTGATGAACACGTTTCTTTTTCTCTAGTGTGGGTTTGGTTTGGTGAGTCTAAAAGGGATACGAGCTTGGATCGTTTCTTAGGAAGGGGGCCCCCTAAGATTTCTTATGGGTTTGGCAAAGGAAAGCGATATGAGATCGATCGACCTATAACACTTTCTGTGCATGCGTGTGTGCGCGTTCTAGATGTGCAAACATGATCACAATCAGACAATAATATTGAAAGTTTTTTACTGTTACCTCCATGAAGCTCAGACAGTTGTAGTTGCCATTGGGACGCCCATCTTATGAGCAGCTGGAATCTCCCTCTTTGACTAATTTTGATGCAGATACTCTGTTTCTTTCCCATCTTCTCTTTGGGAGAGATCCTGACCATTGTGACTGCTGCTTGATGGCATTTCCCCTGTCCTGAATGATGGAATTATAGGCATAACATAAACACAGATGCTGTCTGACTTGTGCCAGCAGCAGCAGCAGCAGCAGCAGATGGATTAGATACTGTCAGAAACAAAGATAACAAATAGAAGAAAACATCAGATTAGTTGTCAGCAAAGCATAGATTATTAAATTTAATCTCAGAATAAAGTCCACTTACCGAGTTAACAGCTGAGTTTTGTTGCACAGTATCTCAGATGTAAAACAAAGATATATTTCATGAAAAGCCAACAAGGCAAGTTCAATCCTAAACCAGGAAACAGGAGAATTTTGAATTGAATTGGATGAAGGTGACCTAGGAGAATTTTGAATTGGATGGGGAAACAACACAAGTTACGTATGAAATCAAATACGCACACGATTATGTAAAGAGTTTCAAAAGATACCTCCTTGAGCTGTGGCCCTTTAACCAGGCCTATTCAAGTTCAAGGTACCAGACTGACCACCACCTCGCCACGGAAGGATCCAGGTGTCCAGAACAACTTCAAGAATCAGACTAACTAATTTCTTCCTCCCGAACGAATCCTGACAAGAGGGAATAATAAGGACGAGAATCGCAACGTATATGCATAAGCATAACGTGGTATTTTTAGAATCTAACTTGCCCAATACTTGTCCAAGATGAAATGCTTACACAACGTGGAAAACATATCTCAAGCGAAATGTACAGATTCTGTCGCGGTTAGTGCGGCAATTGCAATCGTATGGTTAAGCTCTTGCTAGGAACCACGGCTCTCACTAACTAGATAGGTTTCGTCAAGCTGTGTCCAAACAAGAATCTGCAAGAACAACAATACCAGATGGATTAAATCCACGCAATGAGCGGCACAAGGAGACCAAAAGAGGTGTGACCTTTTTTCCTCTAACATCTTCCCCGCTAAGACGTAATTGCTTCCATTATCGGTTATCACTTGAACCACTTTATCTTCTCCAATCTCTTCAACAAGAGAATCCAACATCTCAAATAACTTTTGACCGGTCTTCACAAAACTAGATCCATCTATCGACTTCATAAACATTGTGCCAGCGGGAGAATTGACCAAGAAGTTAATCAAACATCTCTGTTTCCTATCCGTCCATGCATCCGACATAATAGAGCAACCATGTTTCTCCCATTGAATCTGATGTTGTTTCATCAATGATTTGGTGTATTCAACCTCCTTGGTGAGTAATGACACTCTTATTTGGTGGTAAGATGGAGCTGGAAGGTTAGGGCCGAAACGTCCAATAACATGTAACATATCTTGAAAACTTTGCATCTTAATGCTATTGAATGAAATCCCAGCTTGATACCACCACCTTGCAATAAATTGGTGAACTCCACCAACAGAATCTTTGTCGCACACCTCTCTGATATTTTGTTGTCTCATCTTTTCTTTCTTGTTCCTTGAAATGGTTGCTTCGGGTCTTCTAACAAACAAATCCATAGGACCTTTTTTGTTCCGTTTTGTTTGTGGATTTTCTTCTTCATCAGATAATCCAAAACCTAAATCATCAAGATCAAACTCCATAGGCTCGTTGGAACAAACCGTAGAACCAGTAACTCTCTTTCGTTTGTGAAGTTCCCACATCTCTTCACGTACTTCTTTCGGACATAGTTCGCACATAGTAGTGTTGCCTTTCTTTCCCATCAGATGCTCCTTTACTCTTGTAATACCTCCTTTCATAATTTTTCTACAAAACTTGCATACGAGAGTATTTGTATCATTTTCTTCTACAGCTTCAGCATATTTCCATCCAGGATCTTTTCTAGTTCTTTTAGGAGCAACATTTGTAGATGCAGATTGTGAACATTGTCCGCCTTCGTTTGACATTATCATTGAAAAATATCGAAATTATGAAAACACATGAACATGAACACGGTAGAAAATAATAGAAAATAAATATGAATGATCCTATAAATTACATACATAATACATATCGTAACAGATGCTAGTGCTAGGTGGCAGAAAGATGTACATACAAAAATAATATAGATAAATAAAACATGGCAGACTTTTGTTATCTCTCTCACGGAAGAGAAAGAGAGTTTGTCTCTCTCATCATCAACAAACAAAAAAAATAGAAAAACACAGATAAATACCAACAGATGTCTCTCTCATCATCAACAAAAAAAAAAGAAAAACACAGATAAATACCAACAGATCGATTCTCTCTCGAGTCGCGACTCTGCAATCTTTCTTCCTCGGGTCCTCTCTCTTTCTCTGTGTTCTTCAACTTCTTCTGCAATCTTTCTTTCTCTTTCTTTCTATTTCGGAAACTCTCTCTTTCCAGATTTTGTTTCTCTTTCCTTCTTCAATTTTTCTATTTCCAAAATCTTAAACTATTCGACCGACGCTTCGATATCTCCCATTTTTGTGTTTTCCTTTTTTTTTTTCTGGACTTTACTTTCCCTTTTAATACGCAATTCCGCCATGGCGGGGCTATGGCCGCCATAACCCACAATGGAAAACCCCATGTGGCGCACGCAATGGCGAAAACGCCATACACGCCACGCTATACAAATACCATGGCGTCTACCTTGAAATCCGCCAGGCCATCCCGCCATGGCGGGGCCATGGCCGCCATTTGACAACACTGGTCCAAATAAGAATCTGCAAGAACAACAAATCAACAATACCAGATGGATATCTGATGAAAGAGCAGAAACACAAACACTCAGTGCTTGATTCATTTTAAAGCATCCATTACAATAACAGAGGGCTTGGTATCGTGCTATCTCCAGCAGCGAAGTCCACTTCATGAACATGTCCAGTTCAAGTAGATTATAGTTGGTGAATTGGACAAGGGACATCCTCCATCACTCGGTGCAACACATTCGGAATGAGCCGTGAAATTCCGAATCCACATGAACTTTTTTCTATTCATCAGATTCGCAAGCTCGAGAAACAACAATGGCTTTCCAGGAACACTACATTGGTTCATCACAAACTCAAATCAAGCATCATCACGAAATTAATTGTTGGCGTTAATTCATAAATCTTACACAAAAAATATTCCTGTCGAACTAGTTATACGTTTCCACATGAAATCGTTTCCCGCTTCTTCTTCGGATGATGTTCACCTCACATATTGTAATAATCGAGTCGGATAAGTTTGCAGAATAAGCACGAATCATACAAGGCAACGGAAATTCTCAGGATATCGAGAGATCTCACCGGAAATTCTCTGGGACTTTGAATTCTCCGGTATCCACGAGGCGACGCAAAGGCGAGGAGAAGGAGGCGCCGCCCGCGCTCTCGCCGTTGGTGACATTTTGCGAAAACAAAATCAAATATTTTAAATACCGGGTCGGGTTGACAGAAAAGGATCCGGGTCGGGTTGAGAACTTGACCGAGCCCAAAACTGAAACAGTCTCTCTCTCCCGAGCTGCTCTTCTTCTTCTTCAAGTTGATTTCTTCCTTGGCGCCATCGCAGAGAGAGAGAGAGAGGGGGCGGGGCGCCTCGAGATCAGATTGCGATCTAATGTACGATTCCATCATTCAGGTACATTACAACTCATGTTTTGCCTTGCTTGATGAAGCGTGTACTGAAATCCCATGTTTGGCTTTCCTGCGATTTGACCCTCGGAGGATCTGCGCTTGGCTCATTCCCAATCCAGATTGACGTTGGGAATGTTTCTCGCCTCTCTAATCTTGATTGAATTCCGGATTCGGTTTGTAGCTTAGGGCTCTGACTAGTCACATTTAAGCGGGGGGTTAGTCTTTCATCGATCTTGGTGAACAGTGATGGTTTATGCCTCCTAACTCGTTGATTCACTTGTGCAGATATGTAACTTCTCGACATGTAGTAACTTGACCCTTGTACTCCTCTGGGTCGTGATGATATACTACATTAAGATTTAAGAACATGAACGGTAAGGCGATTTCCTCTTCAAACTCAATTTAGGCCCAAAGCTATGTGATGTTAGATTATACTGCCTTTCTTGATAGCTGACCTGTATTTGTTTGTGGTCTTGATTTCCCCCCTTCTGTTAGCAACTTTTGGTTTCTTATTCATAATCTCGGGTGGTAAAGGTTCAAGTTTTTCGAGCCACTTGGATTCGGACCTGGAGCTTCGGATTCAGAAATTAAAAAAGCATATAGAAGGCTGCCCATCCAATACCATCCTGATAAAAAAAAAAAAAAAAAACCAGATCCAGGGACCAGGCCAGGGTGCTTTCTGCTTCTTAGTTTATAAAGAGCTTCTTCCCTTTGGCTCGAGGGAATTGCAGCTACAGTTTTTTTCTTTTGCGTCTTGTACTTCTTACTGCTGATTTGCTTATCTAATTGTAACAGAGACCCATAAATTTTTTTGCATCTTGTATCGTGAAAACTTTGAGAAGTATGGCCATCCAGAAGGCAGACAAGGAGGGATATGTTTTCGACTTTGCAAGTGAACATGGATTTTCCGAATCCGTTTTAAATCAAATCTTGCATTGTGATGCAGGGATTTCAAGTGGGCATTGCTCTTCCTCAATTTCTCATAGGCATAGATGGAGCATCTGGCGCCGTATTATTACTGTGGGTAGTCGGTACGGTTATCTGTATTCTCTTGCCCCTTTTGATTGCTGTGATATATCTCTCGAGGTCATCAAAGTGTACCGGGAACCATGTTATGCATCAGACGCTTTCAGCATGCTTTCATCTAATGAAGCCGTCTTTACTCTTCAGCCCCAAGGTACTTAAATTTCAACCTTTAGACATGGTAAAAATGGCTAAATGTTTTGTAAAAGTGGAGTCGCGTTTGACATGTCCAGCAAGGTTATGGAAGTTTTCATCAAGGCAGGCGAATACATGGAGATTCCTGTTCGTAGAACTGATGATGAACCTCCCCCATTTAGCTCGTGAATCAGCGGTCCTCTCTCCAGCTTTGCTTAGGTAGCTCTCACCTCGCCTTCTTGAAGAGTTACTGAAGGTAATTTCTTGGCTTTGCTTGATTAGCTTGTTCGGTTATTTCGAGTCATGCAAGTTTTGGATATACCACGGCAATTTCCGGGGAAAAGAGTTAAAAAAAGGAAGTGTGGTTTCTGAAGAAACCGAACTATAAACCTCAAACATCTCAGGCTGTTCCGCTAAAGTCAAGTGCAGGATCTGCTCAAGGCATTGCTTCTTTCTTGCAGCCATGTTACTTGCTCTAATATAATACGAATTTTCTATCAATTTTTTAGATTAATATAGAAATTATAACTTTTTTAGGAAAAATATGGTGCGATTAAAATTATGATTTTTTTTTTACAAATATACCACGTTTAGTGCCATTTTCGGTTTCATCTGTAATTTTTTATGCACTTTTTTTTACTCTTGTAAAACTCGTATATTTAAATTAAAAGTTAGAAAAGTTTTGTGGATTTTATTGAACATTTTAAACTTTTTATATTGATTAATTTGATCATTGAATACGAATTCGAGTATTTATATAATTTTTTTTTACATATATTAAAATGAATTTTTATATAAGACTCGTGTATGTATGCAATGAAATTATAAGAGTATACATCAAATTCAAAAGTGAAAGTCTAGCCATTTTTTTTTTGTATATTAGAACCGATTCCTATTATTTTTGCTGGAGGGTTTATAAAGATAATATAATAGTTGTGCATATATAAGATTTATTTAGATTTTTAGATATTATATATATATATATGTATTGCTATACAATAAAGAGAATAATATACAAGAATATTTATATAACTCTTCGACAGGGAAATAATTTTGTATCATTACCCAATAGGGTCCTCGTCAAGTTCCATTTTTTTTTTAATATTTTGTTTACTTGTTAAGATAACTAATCAACAAGCAAATAATATTCTAACCTTGATTCCGTTTACTCCAATTGGTACCTTTTGTATGCTTTCACCATTTATAATTCTTTAAATATATAATCATTGGATGCATTTTTTGTGTGTGTGTGTGGTGGATGTAGCTATCATAACGACGATTATATTATCCAAGTTTGGATGCAAAGTATAGACTCTGGAAAATATAGTCGGACCAAAGGTCCGGTGAACTTCCACATTATAAAAAAAAACAACGATTATATTTATTTTCTTTTATATACCTAAAAATGTAGTGTGTACGTATCCTACCGTTAGTATAAGTGATTATGCCATTGATTGGAAACTAAATTAAATTAAATAAACGAAGGAGATCTCATTGAAATTAAAAACCGGATAAAAAAAATAAGGTCAACGAAGAAATCGGGGAAAAAATGGAAAATTAAAAAAGCAATTTCTATCGTTATATTAAAAGGAAAACACTAAAGCAGCGATCATGGCAATGAAAAAGCAAAGCAAAATCGAGATTTTAGAGTGAAGAAAAGATGGAGGGAATCTTTTATTGACTTTGGGATGAGTGTTGGTGGTGCCCTTCTTCTTCTTGCCGTGCAACTCAAGGTCTTCAAAAGCCTACCATGCAAATCATATCTTACTTTATAAAAGAGATATAAACCCAAAAAAAATTATTAATTGTTTCATTGTTTAGAAACAAAAAATTCCTTTTAAATTTTTTATAAAAAATCATCAAATATTAATTTTAATAAAGGATTCATCCACTATTTAAATTATTCAAAAAAAAATATTCTGTTTTAATTTTGTTATAAAAATTTATAAAATTCGAATAAAAATATATATAAATTATAAAATTCTAATTTATAAATATCATCCTTTATATAATAAATTTGTATACAAATATTATACTTAAAATTAAGTATATTTTATTTATTGTAAATATCATATTTAGAATTTTATCATGTATTGATATTTGAGATATTATAAACTATCAATTTGATTTTTTAAAATAAAAATTTAGTAATTGAAATACTATATAGTGTAAAATTACATATAAATTAATTATATAATAGATAATATATTTATAGAGTGAAATAAAAATATAGTATTTTTTACATGTAATGTTGTATAGATTGAATAATTTTTATATGTAAAACGAAGTTTTTTTTTTAATAAGACAAATATTTATTTTTTTTTAAATTTATCGATTTCTATATTTATAATCAATAAAATATATTTAATTTTAAATATAACATTTGTATTTAAATTTATTATATAAAGGTGATATTTACAATATGATAAATTTAAATAAATATTATGTTTTATTTTTATTTTTAGAATTGTATAATTTATATATGTTTTTATTCAATTTTTTTAGATTTATATAACAAAACTAAAATAGATTTTTTTAGTAATTTAGATTTGATGATTTTTTAATATATCAAATTTAAAGTGAAATATAGTTTTTAAACAATTTATATTTTTGATAGTCTTTTTTATTAAAAAATAACAGTTGATGATTTATTATAATAAATTTTAAGTAAAAGATTTTTTTTGTGTGTAAGTGATAATATATCTAATGGGATTTTTTGTTTGCTCCTTAGAAAATATAGATTATAGAATATATTAATAATTGCAGATAAGTTATTTATTTTGGTTTGATTCTTTTTTATCCCATTTTTACTGTTTGTGAAGGTTTTATTAGTTTTTTTGACATTGAATCTTGTTTAATTTTGGATTTTATTGAGATTCACTTCTTTATTAATTTTTTATATTATTTTAATAATTAATTTGAATTCAATTCAGTTAATTATAAAAATATATTAAATTAATTCTTCTACCAAATTCTATCGTTATATATTTATTCCATTCAACTCAATTCAAATTTGAAAATCCAAATCAAAATATACAATTCTATCATCTTGTTTTCTCTACCTTAAACATAAAACAAATCTCTATCCCTTTTTTAAAGTCAATTCCCTATTAAAAATCCAATTTTTTTTCTTTGCAAATGAATAAAAAATAGTCTCAGATTTGCTATTCAATCACTTATCTTATATATAGACGCAAATTTCTCATTACGTTTAGATTTTTAACCTTATCTTATACATGCATATTGCATTAACAATTTAACATTTATCCAAGCGTCATTATCTTGTGCACATAAATCCCAAAATGGAATATACTATGTTTTTTTTTTCATGTATAATTCAAAGTTATAATCACAGTTTTCCATTTAAAGCAGATTTTTTTCCATTCATAATCTCTTCAAACGGTAGGAAATATTATGTTCCTGATTTTACTTTGATTTTTTCATCAACACAAATAACAGCGTATTTTCGGTCCATATAAAATTTTCGTAGTTCATGTCAGATGTTTTGCACATTTTCATGTTACCCCATAACCTAATTCACCCGTCCATAACATATTTTGTCGTTATAAGCTTATTTTAGCGACCCAATAGTAATAATGACCAAATCATAGTAAATATGTAAATGGATTGATCATATTGAACAATTTATATAAATCGATACCAATTGATACATATTTTAGTAATTAATAGTTTAAAATAGTGTGACGTGAAATAAGACGTTTTTTTAAGTTTTCGCAATACAAATGTTTGATTTTGTCATTTTAAAATGAACACTTAAATTTACTCGAATTTTAAAAATACTATCGTTAAATTTTATAATATAAAATCTAAAGAACAAACATGCAAAATAATATTTTGTATTTTGTCACGTAAATATATATTTTTTATAATCAATAAATTTTACACATCTTCGATGTAACTATATCTTCTACAAAATAAAAAAATCTATTTAGATGACTCTTTCTAAATGAATACTCGAATTTGGATCGGAAAGAAATTTTGTCTAATCTTTTACCATCTAAATTGTCTATTTTAGATAAATATTATTTTAAATACATATTATACAATTTGAATGATCTATTAAATTTATTCAAAATATAAAAACCAAAAACCTGTTTGACTTACAACAGTGTTGAACGAAAATCTGAAGGAAGAAAGAACACATCCACTCGTGGACCATCTCCAGAAAAATGATTGGCATAGGGAGTAAAACGATTAAAATAAAACTTAAGGGGCAATAAAAGAGAAAAAGGAAAGATTAGGGTCCGAAGGAGAAAATCCAATAACTCGATACACCAAACCAAAACATCTCTGTTTGACTATTGACTTTCTTTGCTACGGCACGGCAGCCGAATCGAGGATTCAAAAAAATTAATAAAATATTATTTATTTCCTACAAAAGAATAATATGGCAAAATTGCAAAACCGAGGGAGAGTATCAGGCAAATCCGGAAATTATTAAGGGAAAGCGAGGGTATTTTCGGTATAACTAGGATGATAAATACGTGGTGATAGGGCACCAAGCTCTGCGCTGTTCATCCAAATGAGAAGAGAGAGAAAGAGAAATTAATTTATTATAGCTTTGCTCTGTGTGAAGACGACGACGAAGAGAACCAGCTCCGCCGCCACTTTGATCGGCGATTCTCTTTGTTCTCCGACAACATCTGACTACTGTTTCAGATTCCGATTCGTCCCTTCCATCGGTCTTGTTCTGTGGTTTTGTCTCCAAGACTTATAAATCCGGCGAGAGTAGACGACGGAGGCTGAGAGTCGAATCCATCTTTGCTTTTTGTTTGGCTGTTGAAAAGGGAGGTTTGTGTGGATTCTTGCAGAGGATTTGATCGGATCTCTCTCAAATCAGCGGCGATTTTTTTGTTGAGTGAGGGGAAAAAAAAGAGAAGTTGGTGGAACAGGTATATGAAACCCTAGTTTTCTTGATTTCTGACTGTTTATGTGATGGTTGATTATATTCTTTGGCGCGGAGAAGATCCTCGTTCTTTGATGTCTACACGGTTTGCTTTTGGACGTTTTGGTTACATCAATGTCGGCTTCGATACGGCTCGAAACTTCCCTTGGCATGGCAGATCCTTTAGGCTTTTGCTCGAAGACCATGTCTCGACCTGCGATTGCCGGGAGATCCTCTCCTGTTAGGACCATTGATGCTAAATCCTGGGACATTGATCGCTCTTTTACGCGTCCATACCTTTGAAAACTTAATCGTTGCGCCTCCTCCTGAGATCACTCCCGTCTTCATCTGGGTCTGGCTTGAACAACTGGGCAGAGATCTCACCTTTCTTCCTACCTTTCTTTCTACCCTTTTGCTTGATTGAGCAAAAGAGGCGGCTTGATGTACATACGACCCTAAACGATAGACTGAGGAGCTCATTCCACGACGTCTGATGCGCTTCATAACACGGTGTATCCCACGTTTGCTGCTTTTTTCGTAGACCAAAGAAGTTGGGAGTGACAGAGTTACATGGATCTTGCTATCGTCTTTCATGGCACGGGGTCAAGAAAATGCTTAGAAATTTTTCATCTAAGTCGTAAACGGCTCCCATGTTTGCCTTCTGTGTGTCTATTGCTCGCACTTGATCCAATAAGGAGGCTGGTTTCTGCTATATTGAACTCAATATGTCTGAAATCACATCCTGATCAGAAGATGTTATATTTCTTGTAGAAGGAGTAGGCACTATCTCTTGATTTGTGAACTTGCCATGTGTTTCGGTTGTTTATATGGTTTGCTTACCTAATTTTTTGTTTTCAGGTGAGGTAGTACCAAAACAATTCAGGGGAGCATACCTCCTAAACTTTGGTGTCAAGTGAATAGGAAGTGGCAATAAATCCAAGTTTGCAGTGTATTTGATATTCGGTGGATGGGATTGAAATCTAGGAAGCATGACGAGCACTGATGATGTAGAGCTTACAAGTACCATCAATTCTGGTCTTCCTTGGAAAATGGTGGCTAAAGGGAGTAGGAGCTCAACAAGACGTAATAAGAAACCAGTTGCACGAGTTGCAGCCTTGGATGTTCAGGCAGTAGACAGGAGTGCAGCAGGCGAAGGGGCGGAAGGTGTTTCAGAATCTGAGAAGGTTCTTGGCTTTTTTTTCTTTGTGTTCCTCGTATATGTTTATCATTGTAGTCTTTTGATCCTAATGCATGATTTTTTCTATGTATGGCAGCTTGGGGTTGCTGTTCTAGGTCAGCATTTTGCGGAAAAAGTAGAGCATGTTCCGATAAAGAAGCGGAGGTTTATCCTTCCTCTTCCATCATCGCCTTCAATCAGTTCCTCTTCTCGACATGAAGGCCCAGAACATCGTGCACAGATCAATCATGCATTGCATGTTTCTAGGTTAAACCCCAATCTGGTTGATGGAAGAACATCAGAAGATTTTGGTGAAAAGCCCGATTGCAACAGTCATGACTTCTCTGGAATCGAGATACTTGCTGATGTTGCTTGCAGTTGTGAAATAAGTAGTGATATACCGACAGCTCGGGATCATCTGTTTGTTAAAGAACCTGCTCAACAGCAAATTCCCTCGACCTTATCTGTCCATGTGGAAGGTGACGACCGATCATTAGTTGGGACAGTTACTGTCTCCCAGAAAGATGCTGTTCATGAATCTGGTGACCAGGCTATGGAAGACAAGAGTGAAACTGTAACGTCATCTAAGAAAAATCCGGTTGATGTTTTGGATCCTGCTTCTGGGGAGATGGTGTACCAGAACAACATTATTGTGGTTTCCAATGAATCATCTACAGAAAAGCCAAAGGGGAATGTTGACGCAGATGAAAACGAAAATTTAGCACCTCAGAACCAAACGGTTGGATCAGAGAAATCATCTGCTGACGAGCAAACTGAAAAGTCTAAGAACATTGAGTGCCCAAAAGATGATAGGTTACATTGGGATTTGAATCTGACGATGGATGCTTGGTGTCAACCTTGTGATGCCGGTGAAGGAAAAGTCACAGAGTCTGTTTCCCCTGTGGAGACAGAACCTATCAACGGTTGTAAAGACCGTGTGGATAGCGAGATTTCATCGGATGTGCATGTGAGCATCCCATTGCCTTCTGGGTCTAAGGCTGAAACAGCTGTTCCAAACACCAAGGATTCCCAATCTGGTTATGATGATTCCCAGTTTGAGGATGGAGAGTTGAGGGAACCATATCCTTGTTGGGAAGAAAACGAAGGTGATGCCGCAGAGGTTGAACAGGTGGATTATGGTTCTGAACCCGAGGATGAAAGATTCTATCATTTGGGTGAAGGTAATGAGAGTAAACTGGACGGTGTTGACAAGGGAATCGTGGCAGAGAAAAAATTTGGACCTGTAAATTCAGAATCTGGAGATGCACAAAGGATCCCGGGGACTAACGAAGGAAGTAGTGATATAGAGAAGCATGTGGTTGTCTCCTTGAATGATTCTTATGCGAAGGGCCCTTCTCCTTCTAGTGTTTTTTCTTCAAAATCCTTCAAGGAGTTGCCTTCACATGGTACTGTTCAGCAGAGAAGGCAAGTCCGCTTATGCTGACAACCTTTTTTTTTTAACAATGCCTTTTGCTTTACATGTTTTTAAGTTGATCCTTGCCTAACCGTAAGAATCCTCCTTGTTTCAGGTCTGATAGCTACGATGAGTCAAATGAGAGGGATGCTGGTTCAGACAAGTTTATGGGGAGGGACAGATCAGGAATCCATACGCGCGGTAGGAGTCCCGGAAGAGGGCATTTTGGTGGCTGGGATTCTAAACGACGTCTTTCCCCTTCTCCTATCTATAAAGGCAGCTCCTTTGGTTTCGGGCGTCGCCCAAAAAGCATAGTGGAGAGTCGAGGTTTGATGAATGGGTTTGATCAGCCGGCATCAGGACCAGATGGTCATATACGTAGGCAGTTCTCAAGTGGGGCATACAGGGGTCGGTTCAGAAGATTCCCGGATGATGGGAACCGTGACTTCAGAGGCGTAGATCGAGGCTTTCCAGGTGATGCGAACGAGTATCCTGGCCGGATGCACCACAGGAACAACGGCGGTAGCAGGAGAGAGAGAAGCAACTCTCCTGTCTTCAGGAGATTGCACTACCCTCATCAACCCTATGAGAAATCCCGATCAAGATCCAGAAGCCGTTCCCCAGTCTCGTGGAACAACCGGAACAGATCTCCCGGGCTGAGAGCTGATGATAGGATGGAGAGAGTGAGGCTGCCGTTCCAGAAGCGGTTTCCAGCCGACCAAGAGGTGGGATTCATGTCTCCACCAAGGAATAGGATGTCGCCGCCGCCACGTAACTCGAGGTTTTTCGAAGGGAGGAACAGCGATGGAGGGGAGAACCATAACAACAATTTCAGGATAAGGAAATCACCAGGAAGAATGCTTAGGCCAGGACAAAGATTCGATAGCAACGGACCTTCCATGAGAAGGGTGAGCTCAGAGAGTCACTTCAGGCCAACGTTACGACACAGACGGTTCGATGGGACTGGAGGGGGAAGGCGGGGGTGTAAATATGAAGGAGGAGAGGAGGAGAAGGGAGGGAACAGGTACGAGATGGTGAACCGGCCTCGGCGTTCAGACAACAATAGATCCGAAGACGGTGATAACATCCGACGTTTCAGATTTAACGGGGAACAGCAGCAGTCTCAGGTCGTCACAAACAACAACAACAACAGTGGGTCATGACGAAGATAGCAGATTTCCTCATATTTTTCCTCCAAAAATTTTTCTTGGGGTTTATCGTCGCTGGGGGTTAATTAGTGAAGAAGAAGAAGAAGAAGAAGAATAGGGTTTTCATGGTGCTGATGGGTTTATTTTGAGGAGAAGAGAGCGTTCTCTTCCACCTTTGTCTTTCGTTGTTCTTCTCCTTTTTTGTTTTCTCAACTCTCAGGCTAAGAAAGGGGTTTTTTGATTTGACATGTTTTTGTAGATCCCAACCAAAAAAAAAGAAAAAAGAAAAAGAAGAGGTAAAATCTTCTTCCTGCAATTTGAACATTGAATTACGGCAGTGGGGAGTTTTTGCTTACGATAAAGGCAGATAACACAATCAAGCAAGCGGGTACGGTTACAAACACGAAACAAAACAAACAGCGTCTTGTCTGTTTCCAACATCCCCAAACATCAGAGAGACATTTATGGAAGATAAGAACACAAGCCATATCACTACACACTTGCTCGAGTCGAGATGTGCAGTAGCTTAATCTACTGGCAACTGACTGCTGCAATGGCAAATCAAATCATCCTCTGAACATCCCATTGAAGACAATGGCGTCGGCGTTCTCACATATCTGCAGCGAAGAAACAGCCTGAGCCGCGATAAGATCAGCAGATATACCCATGTGATCCCACCCCCCTTCATCACAATACAGCTCATATTCTTCCCTTCTTCTGAAAGGCTCATGTGGGAGTGACCAGCTACTGTTTCCTATCCCATAAGCATTTGACAGAAACCCGATTCCTTGAATTGCATAATTGCCACAAGTTTGATGAGGAATGCTCTCGGCTCTTCTTCCGCCCATGTACAAGTCAACATTGGCGGCATAACCCCATGGGTTGAAACCCCTTTCTTCATTGATCATGATTTGGCATGGATCATCGGAATCTTCCCCAATCAGGACTTGCAGAGCGACAGCCTCAGCTATGGCAGCTCCTTCTTCATCCAGCCTTTGTTGTTCTTCCAGTCTTTTCTGCCTTTTCTTCTCCAGCTCGGCCCGGATGGCTGCAGAAGCAGCAAGGGCTTTCTCCAGGCGCATCTTTTTCTTCTCGGCCTGTCTGACACGGTCCAGTTCATCTTTAACCTGCTGTTCCTGCTGCCTCTTTGCAGCCTCTTCTTCATTCATCTCTGGTTGTTCTTCCTTCTTCTTCTGCTTCTTCTTCTCTAGCTCAGCCCGGATAGCTGCAGACGTAGCCAGGGCTTTCTCCAGACGCCTCTTTTTCTTCTCGGCTTGTTTGATGCGGTCTACTTCATTTTTCACCTGCTTCTTCTTTGCTTTTCTAGGGGCCGACGGAGCTTGCATGTATGTTGTGTTGTTCATGATTGCTTTTGACTTCAACCCCCTCCCAAGTTTGTGTACTAGGTTTTTGGACTTCCCTAAAGAGGAAAAACCTAAAAGGTATACATAATGTAGCTGGTTTTTTTATTTCCTTTTCCCTATTCCTTTACTTCTATCAACTAATCAACTAAATAACTGTGCTAAGCTCGCTGCAATCTTGAGAACTACACCCACTCTGGTATGTACGAATACCTCATCTTACGGACAATACAATCCCAAACAGAGACAACAGGAGACAACAGAAGGGAGACGTCGTAAGAGTTTGCAGACTTATCCCTTGGAAGCATTCGTCCTAATTTCCCGCAGCCCTTACACTTGCCCATTTTCTGCATGGGTAATTACTCAATTAGAATTAAGGTGAAAAGGAAAAACCATTAGTCACTCGCAAAGGCATTTAAGCCAGAACATACCCAAAAAACCCATAAAATCTAACAAGTCTAGAAGCAAAACAACCCCACTACAGTTTCAGCGGACACATGGGAAATTAGCCGACGAAACCTGAACTGGAAGGGAGTTATCACTGAGAATACGATAGAACAAACTCCACACGATTGGCAATCAAAACAATTGAATTGGTCTAAAAAAGTTCAGGAAATATAAAGACTGAACTGAAGCACCAAACAGCTAAACTAGTTCCACGTTCTTGCACCGACAAAGGTGTCGTCAGCCGAAACGATGGTAAATCCAAATACCACCGAACTTCACCCTGATGCAGAATTTGGTTCGCTTTCTGCATCAGCAACAAATAATCCACATAGCTTTGATAGAAACAATGGATTCAATCAACCAACACCATAACAGCGAGGTCAGATCGCGAAATTGTAAGAAACAATATATAAGTATCGACGAAACTACAAACCACCCACAAACTGAAATAATCAGATCCGCTCCCAGAAACTCATGAAACATCAAATTAAATCTAAAATTAATAACAACAAACAGAAAGATCGATTCATATCAATTAGTTCCGATTAAATTCCATAAACAAACATTAGATCAGGGAAACATATACACCTAAACCACCAGAAAAGCCCTCGATCTAGATTCAACTATGGAAAGAGAAAATACACGGAAAAAACAAACGAGATGAAGAATCGGATCAAAAACCTTGGCAAAGTGGCATAGAAGCAGCCGCCTCAAAGAACTCCCCGATTAATCGGATAAAATAGAGCGAAACAGAAAACGATGAAGCAAAATTGACTGCTTGGATCCAGAGAAAGCTAGAGAGAGAAAGCGCAGAACAACCCAGAGAGAGAGAGAGAAGATGTGTAGAGGGAGAAAGTGAATTTAACCGACGGATTCGACTTATATAGAAGAGAACACAAGAGGTGGGGCCATATAAATTAAACGCCAATAGTATTATGACACGTGGCAAGTGATGTTCGAGAATATCTGACTTTTTAGAGAGGAAGTTTTCTATTGGGACTTTGGGACTAAGGGCGGTGCAACGTTGTCAAGCCACGTGGACACTTCGTCACGCCAGTGTTTTCAGATGAGCCATTCACAGCCGTTGGATTAGAGATTTGCCCATGGTTTTACGGATGATTCAACGGCTGAGATCTCAGATCTTAGAAAGTTAAACCTGGAGGGCAAAAGCGTCAGTTACAAAAGTGCCTTGGTTTCATAAACCTTGGTGGGTGGGCTACGAAATCTAAATAATTGAACTATAGGCCCAAATAAATTAAACTGGAATTATAGACCCGTAAATATAGACATGATAAATCGGATAATAAATAATAATCTATAATAAAAACCCAAAACTATTTTAAAAAACAAACACAAAATATATTTAAGCACTTAATTTATTCACAGTTTCTTTTAATTCCACAAATGACGTAATAATTCGCGATAATTACATTAGGACATGTTCGACTTTAGAGTTATATATTCAATACAAATTATTTGATGGCGAAATTATAAATAAAAAGAGTTCATGGGCTTATATAAGTGTTATGGGCTTTTACGATGAAAAAGCCCGTTTTGCGATTCCCTTTTGATGACGGGATGAAAGAGAAAAACTTCAATTTAAAAAACAACAAAAGTGATTAGGGATGCATCCCTGATCCCTTCTCATATAGAACCCAAAAATACGTTAATGTTTTTATCTAAACGTCTAAAATTTTTGACCGGTATTAATTTTAGAAAAATCGAATTTTTAAAATTAAATTAAATCGAATTTTAAAAAAATACAAAAAACCAATTTTTTTAAAAGATCAATATTTTTTTTAATAAAAACGGAATTAAAACCGAACAAAACCGAATATAATATATTAACTGATTGTTATTTATTTTTGTAAAATCGAAAAAATCGAAGCGAATTATTTCTGATCTGAACCCGAATACCGAAACACCCATCTCTAATAATAATAATAATAATAATAATAATAATAATAATAATAATAATAATAATAATAATAATAATAATAATAATAATAATAATAATAATAATAATAATAATAATGTTTACATCGTCTACGTTTAATGAGACCCACCTATCATATACCGTATTTATCCATAGAGTCACGTTTCCGAAAATGTTTTTCGTCTTCCATCGGCTGACTACTACTTGGAGTAAAATCCATGTTTGCAAGAAATAGGACCCACAATTTTGTCCATTTTTTCTACAGATATTTTTGTTTTTATTATTCATAATATCTTTTCAATCTGAAATAGTTTACACCCCTTAAGATTTGATTTGTTTAAGAGTACAAGTGAATATCAATGGATAGATATTAAATTTGAGATTTGTTTCGGTTTTAAAAAAAATGTTTATTTAAAGTTTTTGTAATACTTTTGGTTTCGTATTTGATTTTCATTAAAATTTGTTGTTTTTTTAAAAAAAACTGATTTTTAATATTCAATTTGTATTCTATTAATTTAATTTAAAAAATCATAGTAAAATTTAAATCAAATTCAACTAGAATGTGATTACATTTTTTTGGTTTTATTTCAATTTAATTTGATACATTCCAACCAAAAAATCATTTACTATAAAACATCTTTGTAATTTGGAAAAATAAATTAAAGGAGTGACATGTTAAAGACTAATGAAGATAAAATGACAAATTATAGTATTCGATATATAACTCATTGCTTTTGTGATAAGATCGCCAGCTTGACTTGAATAGAGTTATAGCAAGGCAATATGATCATATGCTAAAAAAAGTATAATACAAAAAAAATAGAAAAGTAACTATGTATATATATATCATAGTTTTAATTAACTAATTTTTCCTAATTAAGTTATGATTTTGGAGTCGAGAGAATTATTTGATTTCATGACCAAACGACGAAATAAACGAAGGTTTAATTAAAGGAAAAAATATTTGAAAATTTCTGAACTTGTAATTTGGTATAATATTATTTTCTGAATTTGTAAATACGTCTATTTATTCTCAAATTTATATTTTTGAACACAATAATTCCTAAACTTGCTTAACTGTTCTATAATCGTCTATACTCGATTTATCTATGAACCGAAATCGGGTCTAATAAACCGGTTTGCTTACGTGGCACCCCTAACTCAGCAGCAAATTGAGGAAAAACCACATTGAAATTTTTCCACGCCAGAGCATCTGATGGATATTGTATTTCTCCATCAACGGTAGAATGTTCTGCATGCCATCTCATATGCGAAACCGTTTGTTGTGATTTATACAAACGCTTCAATCTGTACGATACCGACATATAGAACATCTTTTTACAGGGAGTTTTTCTCTGTACATTCTTACTCGGACAGTATCTGTTAGCCCCACAGAATTTACACTGAACCAATTCTTTATCTTCACCCCAATAAAGCATGCAACCATTTTTGCAAACATCAATCTTTTCATAGGGCATTCCTAAATTCTTCAATATAGCCTTCGTATCATAATACGATTCTGGAACTTCGTTATTTTTACGTAAATACTCATGCAATGTTTGACAAAATGAATCCATGCAACTTTATGTGACATTATAATCCATTTTCATACTCATCAATCTTGATGCGAGAGATAAACGAGACTGACCTTCTTTATATTCTTCATAGATAGGATGATTTGCTATATGTAACATGTTGAAAAACCGTTTTGTTTCGACGTTTGGCTCCTCCTCTTGTGAGTTTTGATCAACCGATGTCCCAGGAAAAATATAAGGATTTCTTGAAATTTCATCTACATCATATCTCTAATTGGCCGACACATGTCCCATCATTGTGATTGTCCGAACTTCTTCTCCATAAAATCGCCAAATGTAATAGCTATCCATAAACCCCTTTCGAAATAGATGTTTACAAACATCTTCTTGATTGCGATATTTAAAATTCCGACAGCTTGTATACGGACATAGCATTTTTCCACGTTTTTGGCACAAAATGGCTGTATGGAAGCAAAATTCATAAATTGCTCCAAACCGGAAATGAATTCTTGCGTTACCTCTTTTGTAATCGGATCAACTCTTTCATATATCCATTGTCGGGATGAACGAATATTTGGATTTGTTGAAGAAGACATTTTGGGGAGAATTTTCGGTGTAAAGATAGTAGAAGAATGATTTAGAGAGTGGTTTGGGAGAATAATGGTCGGATGACTTATATAGAAGCAAATTCCAACGAACGTCCGTTAGAAGTCCGTTGGAAAAACTCATCCGTTATCCATTCTAACGGATGTCCGTTGGAATTCTTCGACCGTTACATATTCCAACGGATATCCATTGGAAAAAGTCGAACGTTTGATAACGGTCGAATTATTCCAGCGGAAAGTTTGGCTGTAAATTTCAACAGACATCCGTCGGAAATTGCATAGAAAATTTTCAACGTGGCTATCTGTTGATATGCCGTTGGAAATTCTAACGGATTTCTAGCGGCAATATCCGTTACACATCCATTGGAATTTTGTTGAAAATCCGTTGGAATTAATTCAACGGATATCCGTTGGAAATCCGTTGAAATAATTCCAACGAACGAATATGTTGGAAAATGACAGTTTTTTTGTAGTGAGCGGATCTCCCTCTTTCCTTTAAAGTGTCCAGTTAATTCCCCATTCAGATTCATCGAGTACCTGGCTGTGGTGATACACTCCTTAATCCACCTTAAGTATGGGCTTGGAAAGTCCATTGCCGTTAATGCATTAATAACGAAGTCTCATATCACGGAGTCGAACGCCTTCCTAATATCCACCTTAGCATTGTGTTTCTGTGGTTTCCTGTAGCTTCATGGTCTTTAATCAATTCTATCATAAGCACTATATTCTCCATCATTGGTCTCCCATCTAGAAAGTTTTCTGATTCCTCAATACAACCACTAAGTAATGGTTGTAGTCTCTTCGATAATATCCTCGAATGACCTTGTAGATTGTGGTGCAACAACTTATGTTGGGTTCACTACAGGTTCCTAGCATGCAATCATATCGATCTAGGTTTTGATTTCTAGGTTTTCACGCAGTGGAAGAATTTATTAAAACCTAATCAAACGTCACATGCAATCAAACATTCAAACCCGAAGAACGTGTATATCACCGTAGGAATCGAATACTTACCTCGATTCTGAAGAAATTTGATGTATAATTTGATTTGGGGCATGTTGTAATCACCTATGACTGAAGTTACAGTCCCTCTACATGTATCCACATTGGCGGGAAGAATTCCAAACAATTTGGAATGTATCCGCTAGAATTTATGAAAATAGATCGATGTACGGGACTTGGAATCAGTATTTCGGGGCTTAGATCTCAAGAGAAAAAGCTTTCTTTGAGAATTAAGGGTGCCTAGGACGTCTGATCTTCAAGCTTTTTAGGGTTAAGGGCGGCTCCCATATTAAATAGAGTTGTCAAAACCCTAAAACGCGAAAAAGTAAGTTTTCTCGAGACTTGGACCAACCGGTCTGGGTTTTGGAATCTCGAGTTGGACTGGTCAGTCTTGAGCCACGGAAAAGCTGGACCAATCGATCTAGGTACGAACCGGTCGGTCTGGCCTTCTGGAACATTTCCAGATTCCGACGCTCGTTCCTCATCCCGTTATCCTTTTTCGCACTCATCTCTTCACATGTATTTCATCCCTAATGGTGTGTGACCCTATAAGCTCATTCACAATGGCAGTGGCTTCAGAAATCTTTCATGAACCATAAGTCATGGTTAGTCCCTACCAAGATGCCATGACCACCCACTTTGTATGGAGTTATAGGTGATCTAACCGAGGCAGTAGCGGCTCGAGTTCTGATCCTTTGTCTCATGATATCATAGGTTGAACAAGGGCATGGTTTGAGCAACCCTTCAAGTCCAACCGCTTTCTCGTCTTGGTAAA